TGTTTTTTTTCATGCTTCCTCAACTAGAGAAGAACTTAATAGAAACAGATTGGACAGGAATACTCCATTGATTTGCTTCAGATAAATACACTGCTATTCATTAATACTTGCAATATTAATAGGAATCACTAAGGAATTTTAGAGCATATCTTGTCTAAATCCATTTGCCTATTTCACAATACAGAGTCAGAAAATGTTTTATAGTGGAAATTTGGTTTTTTCTAATACGTCAAGGTGAACAGAATATGCACTGCCATCAATTATCTTAGATTAAATGAGATTTCAAGATACAACACAACATAGACAAATGCTGATGATCAAGAGGATCTGGGTAAACATCTGCATGCTGAAAATATATCCCACAGTCTAGTTTTTTAAATAAATCTTTCAGTAAGAGTTCTCCTTAGCCTTACATTTTGATCTCTCGCCATATACTCAATATAAACAACAACCAAATACTCAGAAACAGCACTAAATATTAAATACTACAATTTCTTCTTGTAATCATACCCATTGGCACATGATTCCACTATACCATACTTAACCTTTAAAACCGACTCATCTTTAGCAGCCCAACTGTCAAGCAAACAAACTGACTGCAGAGTTTTCAAATACCCTGATAGAAAACAGAAAAAACCAAAAGTAGCTAGCATTCAGACTGATAATTTATACCCATAGTTTAAAACAGGGTTGCTTATTTCTCCCATTTATTAATTCATTTTTCTTAACAATCACTATCCATCACTCAGAAATAGTCTTTCTGTTTCCTATAGCCCACATTCGGTTGACTAGTTTTATCCAATACTATTCTAATGGCTAAATTGGGTTAATAAAGAAAAACCCTTAGAAATTTCTCATACTGCATCTATTTTGGGGCCATATCAAATCCAATACCGCATGAGCCACTTCCAGTTCTGAGTTGCCTACTTCTGGAAATACATAAACCATTACTGAAACATACACTCTGGAAGGAAAATTAAATACTGCAGATCTGACTCTCCAATGTAAAACAGTTTGGGCATCCATGTTAGCTTTTTAGCCTATCTCTACACCAGATATTCATTCGCAGTTGCAAAGATTTACCAAGATGAAAAAGGCCAGATTTGGAATTGTCATCATTGCTGAGGCAGTTCTATAAGATGAACCATGTCATATATTGGGATTTATTTCTAGAACTGCTGGAGTATTCTATTGGTCGTTTTGTTTCTATTGAGCTTCCAATACGTCATTATAGCAAAAGATCACATTGGTGTAGAAATAAATGAAAAATGCTGCAAGTCATGAAATGAGACATCAGAATAATTTTGCTGTACTTTAGAGCTGTGCAAAGACCTGGATTCCAAGGGCAAAATGTAAAATTCAAAGTGAACATAGGCACATATACAGCACCAATTGAGAACATTTTAAACCAATCATGTTTCCCTGGAAGAGTTATTAAGAAGAGGATTCCAATAAATGTTGCATAGATGCTCACAAATTTTGCTCTTTGAATCTAGATCTATGCACAACCCTATTGTATGACAGCATGCTTCTTCAGCTGTTTCTCATGGAAGTCTTTCAGAGAAAAAAAAAGGCCCAAAATAACTTACGTTTACATAATTTTGCATTTGGAGAGAAAAAGGCTAACATTACAAATGTGATCCTGTGAGGCAAGCAACCAAAGACATGCAGCCTTAATTCATAACAAAGTATGATCAATTCTCCCTTACTATCTCAGCATAGCCAAACAAATTGGCAAGTGTGTAACTCCAAAGTACAACATTCTGACAAAAAAAACAACAGGAATATTTTAGCATTTCAAACTAGAGATACAATTTGCTGGTTAATTCTTTTAAAATATTAGTTTGAACTCCAAATGCATCTCAGATGCAATGAAAGAGATTCGTTTCATTTCACTATTATGTTCCATCGAGTCAAAAGATTACTCATATTTATAAATTGTTTAAATTCTGAAGGATGTTTTTTTGTTCCAACATTTCTGAAAAGCAGGAACAAAAGCATAAAATAAAAAGGCAGATCAAAGAAATATGTAAAAGTCACAGTGAAACATTTCTCAAATATTATAGGCTAAAGCTTGAAAAAAAAGTAATTTAATAAAAACAGCAAAATATGATTGAAAACTAAAAATATTGACAATGAATAAAAATATAATAAATAAATAGCTTGGAGCAAGAAGCTTGTTCAGAAACAGAATATAAAATCAAATATATATACAATTTTTTTCCTAAAGGAAAATAAACCCAAGAGTATAACATATATCTATGTATGTGTCTTTAAGTGTATATTACAATGCGTGTCTATACACCACATTTATTTTATAATAATTATTATAAATTATATAATAATTATTCTTTAAAATCTCTAGAGATTCATATTTCTTGACTTGTGGAAAGCTGACCCCACAATTAGAACAAAACTGTCCTGATTTTGTAAAAGAATAAGTTCAGTGGAACAAAAATAACTTAAAATGGCCGGACAGAATAGTTTGTATGATACACGTAGAGCTGGAAAGTACTATAGAGAAGAAAATGTCAAGACATTTTAAAAATCTTCAAACAAGGGAAAAAAACCGCCACCAAGGTCATATTTGTACAGGATAAATTTTTGCATTTTTCGTATCAATTATGCACATGTTGGTAACTCACATTAACTAAAGCATGCCTTGTATTTAAAACCTATACCTCCATTCTGAATAATTATAAGATGTACTTAAGGAACTTTAGGCTGTACTCCCACATGCATATGCCAGAAGTCCTGAACCTTTCATTTGGAATAGTGACAGTATGTAAATACTAATAATAGGGACAATGAATGTTAAGGGCATTTTCACAAAATGATAGTTCATAGTGGATGTAGCCAATCACACAACACTCACAGAAGATGAAATAAACATTGGTTTGTAGCCATGTGCCATTTTATGCAACACTTATTTAGATACCGCTGAAAATAGTTTACACTGACTCTGATGCACTTCTCATTCATTATTTTCAATTTAAAAAATCTAAATAGATAGATGATCCCTATGCTATGTTGGCGACCAGGTGCATAGGACTAAATCCCATCAACAGAAGGAATTTTAGGAGTTCCGGTGGTGTTCTGGTCGATGACAGATCAGAGACTGCGATTGTGCGCTGCTTTGATCCGTGCTTACCCTGTTGGAGGGGTCCTTAAAGGACCGGATCCATCTAACCCACCTAAATAAATTTTAGTGATTTGGGGGGGGGGGGGGGGGGGAATATCTTAAAATATATATGTTTTAAAATATACAGTTGATTATTTAATGTGAATAAGTTTAAAGTTGAGTAATGAATTATTAAATTAGATTGGGGGGGATATACCATGTGGATCCTAAATATATTGGTTTTTATTTTTTTTAGATTGTTTATTATATAATTGGCTTAGGGAAAATTAAGGATAATAATGATGTGTAATGTTAAATAAAATAGGTGGTAAGCTGAAAATGGAAATAATAGGGGATAAAGAACTGGGAATCTATATTTGGATGAAATGATATTGATATTGAATTAATGAATTGAAATATGAAATGGAAATTTATTTAAAGATGAGTGAAATGGATAATGATATGAGATGACATCATATAAGATTGGTGGAAATGAAAGTATGATTATGTACAAGTGTTATAATCCGGAACCATGTTGCCCAGGCAAAGAGATGTGTAAAAATTAAAAAATTAAAAAAATTTTGGGGAAAAAAAACAGTAGGAATTTTGCTGGCAATTAATTTTTCAAGTAGAAAGTCAGGTGTAAATACAGTAAATGCTTAGGAAGCAAAGAAACCTTTCGTTAATCCTATTTATTTTGATCAAAGTTCATGAGTTGCTTGGAGTAGCAAGCCTGCTAATGTGCCAAATTCCACTCCACAAGTTGAAACTTAATATTTTCAATATTTATAAAGACTTGACTCAACTGAAAATAATGTTCTGAGACAATAATGTTCAGCAGAGACTTCTAGTATGGACTGCATTTCAGAACAACATGTTAAATCAACATAATAAGCTGGTATCCTAAGTAGCAGGATCAATAGAAAATGGTTACTTCAAAATTGATAGTTTGTGGACAGGATGCTAATGGTTAAATCACTTCACAATAAAAAATCAGTAACTTTCTTGTAGTATTTCCATCAGTACAAAAATGTTACTAAACAGGTGCAGATATTTCCATTTATATTTATGAGACAAAATAGATGAAAGTGCCACTTCCTTCTCTGGTGTGTGTCTCCACCAAAGAAATTCTGGGAACAGGCATGTAGTTACTCCCTTTAGTAAGTCTATTCACACTATCTTTTGGAAGAAAATGATTCTGAATTAAAATATGTATGTATGGTACATATACACTGCTATCTCAAATTTTATGGTCACCATCCTTTCAAAATATTTTTTATTACTACATGTAGTTAATACATCCAGACTCAGTTCCTACCAGAAGCCAGACACAACTTTGGCATGTTAACCAACTATATTTTTAATATTATATCACCACAATCATTACACAGTCATTTTAGGCAGAAAATTATTTTTCTTGATTTTCTTGGCAGCACATTTTAAGGACACTACAAATAAGTGAAACTAAAATCATATTTTCCAGTTTATTGATAAAGCTTTCTCAAAGTTTCTTCTCTCCTTTTTTAGATCTTTAAATATGAATGTCAAGGAAATGAAGACAAATGTAAAACAAATTTATTTAAATGAATATAATACATGTTCACTTGAATATATCTACATTTATATGTTTGCATGACAAAAAGGTAGATGTCATACCTTTTTGACATTACCTGTAAAATTTAATATTTTTACAAAGACTATTATTAAAGAAAATGCAGTATAATTTTTTTCCTTAAGAGAAGCAAAAAATTTCTTCCTCTATTTTCAGAATTGAACAAGTGTCTATTATATATGCATCTATATTGAGTTTTTAGCCACTTATATTTTAAATAGAAAGCTTTTATATATTGGAATCATACTTTAATTAAGCTAGTATTACCTGGGTGATAATCCTCCATGAGAACAATTGGTAGGTGAAGTTAAGGGGCTGGTTCTGCTGCTCGGATGACGTGAAGGGGTTCGGCCAACAGTATTACTAGGGGAACCCTAATACACAAAAAAGAGAAGAAATGACATAATGTAACATACATTACAGGGGAAAGTAAAATGAAATATGGGAACTTTACTTCAGTTAATTTAGATTTTGATCTAAGCAGTATCTACCAACATTTTAACTCTGACTATTAACCAAGTATCAATTGCTTCCTAGCTTTCAAATTATTCAATAAGAATTTTCTAGAGTTGGAAGTTGCCCACTACTGCCTTCTTATATTATAAGGTAAATAAGACAAGATGCTTATCAATATTCACATTATCGATCTGACAGAAGCACAAGGGTTACTATAGGGAGGCCTGAATTTCCCCCACTTCCTTTCTTCACATTGAAGTCTTAGCAATATTCTAAAATGAAAGGCTTTGGGACTTCTTGAAATCTCATATTTTCAAGAAATACTGCAAAGTAAGAGGTCTTGGCTGGATATGTTAGCTGTTTGTCTATAAGTGTATTAAGAGCGCTCAAGGTTCAGTAGGGTAGGTGAAAGTGAGATCTCCCTTCTCCTTCTTCCATGCAGCCTGATGTATATTCTATTCTTCCCAGCTGCAGCTTCAAAAGTGAGAGCACTTCAGTGGCAGCAAAATTTTTGTATTTTCTGGTTTGGATTTCTTCTGAATATTTTGTATATTGGCTCCCAATGTTCCACCCCTTCCTGGTTGTCCTCAGGAGAGCAAAAGATGATACATGCATCATGACATCACATACTATCACCATATCTAATTGCATCAGATACAAACACAGAAAGTTTGTACTAGTGGCATCACTGAGTATGTCATCATTTTGGCATCACCATAGTGTGCTGCAGACATTATTGAACCACTTCCCTGGAAACAGGGTATTTTATTTTTTTATTCCCCACCTTTATTATTTTTACAGATAACTCAAGGCAGTGAACATATCCAGCACATCTTCCTCCTCCTATATTAGCCACTAAAGTGCCTATCTGAGCTTAATAAACAAATCATATTTTCTTAACTTTAAGACACTGGATCTCTACTTTCTGATCTTTCCTTTTCCCTCTTCTTTTGCCAAGACCCACACTTGGCACCATGGAATCTTAGCTAATATGCAGATAAAGCAAACAATGCAGGGCAATGGCATGATTATTTTAAAGCATAATTTCTTGAAAGTCCTCAAAGCAGTTAAAAAACCTTTACAATTGCAGCAAAAATATGCCCCTAGAATTTGGCAGGATAATGAGAGTCCAAGGTTATGTGAACCTTATGGGTACAATATTGAACACAATCCACCACATTCAAGGCAATGCCAAGTTTCATATAAAAGTACAGGATTCTTGAACTTAGAGCGGAGGATAATAAAAAGACATACATCCTTTGGATTCATTCAGAATAATGGCACCTCTTTTATTAAATGCTGTATCTCTTCTACTCTGTAAAGCCAGAACTGCAGATTTGTATGACTCTGCCAAAATTAACTGGTAATCAAGACATTACCGTCTTTAGAAATTTTTGTTTTTGCTGTTTATTTCTTACAGAAAAAAATTCTTATCTTACCACACTAGTATTGCTGGAGTTCTTGAGGTGGTTATGTAATAGTCTGGTAGCACCATCCTGGAATGTTTTTGGCAAGGCACCAAGTAACATGGTAAACTCAGGAGTGTTCAGTTCAAACAGAGAGATCAGGACTATTTGTGCTGCCTAGGAAGTAAAAAGAAGAAGAAAGTCAGAATCACAGCGGTTTTTTTTTTAAAAAAGTTGTTAAATGTTACTGGGACATATCACAATATCCAGATTGTAGTTAATCATACCCGTAACATCACACATTCCAAATACACAACAGGGAAGTGCTGCTGAAATCAATCAATCAATACAGTAAAAAAAAGAAAAGAAACAAAGCTCACATCTAATGAAATGTCCCGTTGCATTTTCTGTAAAGTGCAAATTAAAAATACAAACCTACATATGAGTCCAACAAAAAGTACATATAATTCATTGTTCTGTATCAAACTACTAACAAGTAAAAGTTCAAAGTTTTTTTTTATTAAAATATAAAAACACATTGTGCTAAAACAGCTTTGAAAATTAAATTACCCTGTTAACAAGCCGAGTCCAGACTTCCACATTATATACTTCATACTTCAACAGAACTGGTGATACATGATTCATTAATAATGTGCATTCATTCATGAACTTCAATAACTGATCTCAACTATTCATTAAGTCAATTTACTGTTATAAATCTATTAGCTATTCCAGTACAAGCTAGTACCTGCAGAAAATGCCCCCCCCCATATATATGTATGTGTGTGTGTCCATCTAGTCCTATCTTTCTACCTATTTTTAAAGTGAGACTAGAACTCACAGTCTCCTGATTTCTAGTCTGGTAACTTAATCACTATACCAAACTGGCTCTTAATAAACATATATAGTGTTGCATTATTAACTTATAATTTCAAATATTAAGCCGCAGTTGTAATTTCTGTCTTTCTATATGTATATTTTTCACTTGATAACATTTGCCTAATAATAAACTCTGGCAGGATAAGAAAAAGTCACTAAGAAAAAGTATGACTAAGTTTCATTCAGTTTCTGTGTGCTTTCTTGTAATGTTTGCCTTGAAAAAAAAATTCATTATGACTTGTTAGAGGCTAAAGAGGTTGTGTGAGGTTTAATCTATCAATTATGACTGAAATTCAGTCTTTGATCTATTATCCTTTCCATTAGAATAAGCACTGTTCCTTCAAAATTAAATATTGTTAAGTGAAGAACATTATATAGTTCCAGCTGGCCTCTCCTTCTTCCTTAAATCAGTATACTTCTAACTAGATGGGAAATCTCTTTGCAGTAGAACTCAGAAAGTGAAAAATAAGCAACATATGGTCGTACTCATCCTGCCCTACAGAAATGTGGGAACATTCATTAAAAGAACATTCTTTGAACAGAAAATATTATTTCAAGCCAAGTCCAAGAAAAGAATGGATAACAAAATGAAGAAAAATAGCTATATGAACAATCAGAAAAATCATGCAGATTCGAGCATGAGAATTTTAGTTTAGTTAGGGACATTTACATGCAAGTCAGTACAGCAACCAAGCAAAAGATCCAATTCTGTGTATATAGTTCTATTTTGTACCTTCCCAAATCAAGCTGGTTCAATTTGGGCTACAGTGCATCCATAGTTCCTTTATACTTTTTATACTATCCTTTGTACTTTTTCAGCTGACTTATTGATTCTTAAACTGATTCTGCCAGTTGCTGTTACAATTTTGTTTCCCTCAGAAATTTTCCCTCAGAAATAACATCTATTAAAATCCAAAAAGTTATCAACAAAAGAGGTGACTGTAAATGACATTCTACAAATGCCAAAGTAAAAGGGTGTATAAGCACTTTGGCAAAACCCAAGTTGTCATTGTGTATAAATAAAGGTCCATTGCCTTTGTATCCTGTAACAGAGAAAAGCTGTGTTAGGCAAGGACAGGCATGTTGCATGTTAACAGACCAGCAGGCATGCAATATTAAATTGCTTTCAGCCGTTTTCCATCCACTTTGGGATGTGAACTCATAAAAGACTGCAACTAGCTGCAGATACCTCAGATACCTCATTTAATGTAATTCAAACCAGAGTGAAAGAAACACATGTGAGGTTAACACACACCACTCCATTTTTTAAAGAAAATCCTTCCCCATCCTTTTTTCCCACAAATCTAAACTTGATTAGAATTTTGGATTGCAAACACAGACTAATATCTTATGATTAGTGTATGCTACTTTTAATCTACCTGTTTACACTTTTCTTCCAAGTTTCCTTCACCAGGACCTGACGAGGCTGCTGCTGGTTTAGCTGGCATATCCTCACCTACCCAACTATGCATGGTCTGAGTTCAACAGATAGGAAATGGAATATTATTTATTAGAACCAAGCGCAAGATTTTCACTGACCATTGCAGAAACGTTTATAATGTTTAGTTTCTTGCAGAAGTTGCACTTATAAAGCAGAGGTGCTCTTTCAACATGGAACTAATGTCACAAAAATGAAAGTGGATGGCCATTGCTAAGATTTGTACCTTTTATTTTTTCCCGACCTGTACTTTAATGTCATTTACAATTTGTAGATGTAAATTTTTACAATTCCTCTGTTACTCATACAGCATTCAATAGCTGTAACGTTATTTTTAGTTATTTATTTTCTTACTCAGCCTTTTTGAAAACAGATAAGCAAAACTTACAACCTGAGGCCAGCCAGTTCTACCTCCAACATTATACAACATTATATAAGTGCAACTGTGTCTAAGTCAGGGATGTCAAACTTGTGACCAGTGGGCCAGATGAGTCACGCGCTGGCCAGGCCCACCCCCGGGTTTAGCGAAGGGGAAAAATGTGATATGTCACGTGATGACAACATGATGACACAAGTTTGACACCCCTGGTCTAAGTGAACCATCAGAAGTTGGTCTCATCTTTTTGCTATCACGTGCTTCTAAACAGATATGTGCATACGGTTAAAGCCTGATGCAGTCAAGTAACAGCAAATCTGCAAAGCAGCAAATTAGGAAGCCTTTCACTGCAATAGCACTAACAATGATGCATTGTTCGCGAAAGTATTTTTTTTTTGGTCTCCTTACTGTTGAGCAACATTCAACCTATTTTTGTAAACTATACTCTGAGAAATTAAAAATGGTTTTTAAAATGACAATTGACTTGTGAACAAAGATTAAAATTCTAGGTGATATTGGCATGTTAAAATACTGATGAGAATGTTTTAATTTTGGTGGTGATGATGATAGTGTTTTAAAAGTGGGCTCTTAGCAGTCATCAACACAGTAGGCATTTGCTTACCTAACAATGAGGAAAACACCTAACTGTTTTATTTAAAAGATGTCGTTATACTGTTTTTCTATGTAAAAAGCACTGGAAGTTGCTTTCGACAGAACTTGTTCTGGAACCTGGAATAAAGGTTTGGAAAAAAGATCTTTTCCCATGTTAACTAACTTTTCCCATCGTCTCTATCAATACGGTGAGACAGAATTAGCCTCTATCCTGATTTACTGTGTATAGTAAAGATTTTCTCTGACTATCATCACTATCATGAAGGACCCAATAAACCCAGTAGTGGTGGACAGCATGCAGCTCACAGGTCATACTTTTTGCCCTCCAGCATTAGATGAATAATGAATAATTTCTTATTATTTTTTTTCATATTGTTAATGCTTATATAAATTTCTATATTTTTACCTTGAAAAAAAAAGAAATCATACAAATCTTTTTACATATGTCCTTTTGTTGATTGCTTGAGGTAATTCTAGTCTACCTCCAGATCTAAACTGTCTTTAAATAATAATAGGATTGTTCAAGTAATCTGGCTAAGAAATAGCTTTATAAAATATGGTCACAAGACATCTATATCAGCAATATCCACTCCAAGAGTCATTGTATGTATCCTTCGGCATCATGGTTAGCATAAAGAAAATTTGTAGAAAAGAAGGAATAAAAGAAGAGTGCATAAACCCCAATGTTAATTATTTCTCTCTTTTTTTTGTGCACTGAACCCATCAGTGATATTGTTACATTGAAGAAGAAGTATCGAACGCCTTATTGTCTATTTAATGATGCTTTGTTTCACGGTAAACAATTGTTCATGTTATGACTTTACTCTCAACAAACTCAATGCAGTAGTTCTCATTCCAAAATGGTTATTTAGAAAGCTATATAATTAATCCTCTGCCATTTAATCATTATACGCCTTGCCTTTTGGCAAGATTCATTTCATTTCTACCAATTTTTCTGATCAGTTTCATCTTTCAATTTCAATGGGCTTCCTATGATCTGTCTTCTCCTCTTCAACATCACAAGCTCATATTTCCTTCTGCATAGTTTAATCTTATTCTAAAAATCTGTAGAGTTTCTCAGTTATCCAGGTCGTAGTTGTCCCAAAGGTGCTTTTTCAGGAGGCAACTGGACTTTTTTGTTTTTTCTTTTCCTTTGAAGATGTTTCACTTCTTATCCAAGAAGCTTCTTCAGCTCCGACAGGACGGTGGGGAATAGAAGGATTTATATTCCTTGAAGACAGCTGGTCATTTGCATCATTTTAGAGAATTGTTGACTTACTCTAAAAAGTTTCCAAGGTGATGTTCTTTTGGACATGCATGACAAAGATGGCTCCTCACGGCACAGCTGGGAACCTCACAGACCACATTAACATGAATGTTGATGGCAAGAAAGCAAATTTGAAACTTGATACCGGTATTATTAACTTTTCCTCACAGAGGAAGTATTAAGTAAATGGAAAAACTGACTGAGAAACTCACCGGTAATTGATTCCTCTACTTCTCACTGTGTATGTGTATATATGATTGTGGAAGATTTGCTCTGATGAGGTACATGCTCATCTCACAGTCATTCAGTGCTCTACTTCAGAACTGAGGCAGGTCAATTCGCAGAAACTATTGTTACCAAATAAAATGATGGCACAAGGGCTGCACTGAATAGAACTAGAGTGATGCAGTACTACATGGTTTTAGTAAAAGTGCTATGAGGGGCACTGTCATATCTGCACAGGGTTACTACCACCCCTTCCACAGAATTCTTACCTTGTTATATTAGGAAAAGTTTTTCTTGATCTACAAAACTTTTTATTTATTTATTTAAGCCACTTGTTGGAATTCGTGGCCAGCGAATCCTCTCCATCCTACTACTGCTCATCTGAAACCTTGCTTTCTACATGTTCTAGTAAAGTGTGTGGATGGGAAAGATATATAAAGATGCATTTGAATACATACATGGATAGACATGAAAGAAATTTCCTTTTTGTGTGTGCTTGAAATACCCTTTCTTGAAAGAATGATATGCATTTCTACTTTCATGAGAGCATCTGCATGCACACTTGGAATACACGCAAAATTTCAGAGAATAAAAGAATATCTTTCAATTGTGACTATGATAGAGAGAAGAGCAAGAGAAACAAGATGTGCTTTGTCCAGGTTTTATTTTCAGCCAAAACATAATTTGACTCCTAATTATTTTTCTGAACTAGGCTTTTGCCCACAAAAGTTATCCACCTCTAATCTTATTTCAGAGAATGAATCTTCCCTGAACTGAGTTCCACTCAAATACTTTCACCAACTGAAAGTTTCACTCTGCATTCTTTAGCATGCCTTTCCACACTATGTGAAAATTTACCCAATGCTCCACCCCACCCAAAGGGAAAAGGAATGACAAAGAAGACTGCAGAGAGGGAATCAATGCAAATTATTACACTAATGTAATTGAAATATTTGTTGGAGCAAATGGCTTCTACCAAAGAAAGGAATGTTTTCATCCAGCACATTTTGAATCCCACTGAATGAATTTATCGCTGTGATATAATTTATTTTTTTTTAACAAATTTACAAAAGTTCCACCAATTATTGCCTCCCATTGCTTTGACTCACCTTTCTTACATCTGAGCTCTTTGGTTCTGTTGTCCAGGTAATAATCCTAGAAACTGCAAGTTTAGCCTCACTGGAGTTTACAAAATCTGTAGGATCCATTTGTCTAGCCAAGGATTCAATGTATTTTAATATTGCCACTTTTACCTGAAGTGAATAGAATAAGTTTTGTAAATAAAGATAACACAACAAATTTCAAACCTCAAAACCTTTTCTCAAGCCCAATATATTTATGAACAATCGCTTGCTGCAAAAGAGCCCTCTCTAGATCTTCCAAAAACCCTTAAAATATAACCAAGGAATAAAAATACATTTGCCCCAGTTATCTATATTTAAACATTTTGCTTGACTTTACTCTCAGACATATTCATTTCCCAATGAAACTGCAAGCACCTTAACCTACCTTAAGGTTTGGTGTTTGGGTCTGATCAACGATAAACCTCATCAAAATATTAAATTGTTGGTCAAACGGAAAAGAATCTCTACAGTGGAAAGGGAAAAGGGAAGAGAGAAAGCATAAGAACAAGTTCCAAGATTTAAATATAACCAGTGTTTTTCTCAGGCAGAGAAAAATTAAATATATAACAGCTGCATGCCACAGTCTAAGAAATAAAAATAAATACACCCCTAGTCTTTAGTCAACTTTCTGAATAATTAGGTATCTTCTTAAGCCACAAGGACGACAGATAAAGGATCCAAGCCTCAGTAAACAGAAGCAATCCAAGGGTAGATACTCTGTTGTGAACTTGGTTTACTTCAGACTTTACTTTTATGTATTCTTAGTTAAGCCTAATTTTGATGTGGGATTTAAATGAGGAAATACATTTTTCCAATTTCCCTCAGGATAGTTGTATCAGATGAGAGGCTCACGATTGTGGCTTAACAGATTCAATTTATGAGACATTAAATAATAGCTATTCTATTTGGAGATGGTGAATACTGCAATCCATCGTATCTGCAGAACACTAGGTTTGAGAAAGCTAGTTTGCATTATGTAAAAAAACATGTCAGCAAGTTATCCCCAGTTACTTGGCAGACACACTACCTTGTTACATCCAGAGCTTTCTGCACTTTGGCCTGCACTGATCCCAATAGGTCAGCACCCATCTTCTTCAGTAACTGTGTCAGAAGAACAAAGAGCCAGTCCTGCAAATCATCCTTGTGAATAATGATGAAGTCTACCAAGGTTTCAAGAAACATGCTGAAAACCTTTAAGTTAAAAGAGATAACAGGGGAAGTCATGATTCACATCATGATTTAACACAAAAATGATAAAAACTAAAGGCAAACAAAACCTGCATTAATAGGGAGGATTTTGACATCCATGTTAATATTGTGAAGTACCAGGATGTACTAGATGATTCATATTAAATAGAAAAAAGAGGTGAGATTACATGGTGGGAGTGAGGAGGAAGGAAAATACACTTACTCTCTGTTGTGAATTCCACCGCAAAACAGGCCATGCAACAAAACAAACCATTCATTAGTAAACTGATATAAAAAAAAATAAAAGCAAATTGCTTTAAGGCAGTTTCCCTTGCATTCAGATAAATTGCATTCACAGAAAGTTTAAGATAACTTTATGAAAGAATATTTTTATAATAGGCAAGGTCAACTGTTAAGTTCTAGAGGCAATAAATGTTTTTGAAATAATATATCTTCTTACATTTAAAGGGAATGTTCTGTTCTAGATAATATCCTACTTGCATGACTTACTTATGAAATTTAAGAATATATCAGTAATTCACCACACATAACTGCAAAGACTAAATAACTATTTAGCACAAAAATTGAAATATGATTATCATTTCGATTCAATCTTTTATTTATAACCCAACTTCCAACATTTATGGATTGTTCATAAAAGATGAATATATTTAAAAATTTACCTTGCTGTGGGGGTCTGCAAACATACGTGTGAAGATTTCACATAACCTTTTCAACTCCACACGGCTAAACCCAAATAAAAAAAACACCCCCAAATAATTGCAGAACATTAGAAATGGGTAAAATGTAGCAACAAAAATTTACATACAAAATCCATGATTTATTTCTGAAGCAGCAAATGGGTATAGAAACTCCATTCTAATCTCAACAGATGAGGCGACTTCAATGTAAGGTCAAGAGACTATACTTTAGGTTTCTAATTTGTAATATAATATAAATCAGGCATGTCTAAACTGCAGCCAGCATCTCCCCCCCTACAGCTAGTAATGTGATCATAAATTTTTAACATTATTGATTTTGCTGTCTTGCCAAAATGTACTTTAATTCAGTGGTCACCAACCAGTGGGCCATGAGAAAATTTTGGTGGGCCGCAGAGAAATCTCATCTCCAGAGCACCCCCCCAAAGCAATTAATTCAGGCTGTGCAGAAACACAAGGCTGCACCACCCACATGGCCTGCGGGAACCCTCCCCACCCACTCACTCCTTATCCAGTAAACTTGCCTGCTAAATTGCTATTTTTCCTTTTTCCGACCATCAGCTGTTCTGCTATGCCGGGAGATTTAGATTAGCTAGGAAACAGGAAATGGTTGGATTTCTTGCTTTCTAGTTAGACTTTAGATCTTCGGCTCTGCTTTTAAGCACAACCCAACCTCCCTTAGGACTGAAGGTTATTCAGTGCAGACTCAAGGCAAGCAAATTTTATGTGACAGACTGAGGTAACCGATGGCAGATAGATAGATCACTGAATGATTCTGTGAGCAACTCAATCTGCCTGTCTGCTTTGCCTGATTCTGGGTAAAAGTTGCTTTTTTAAAAATAAAAATAAAAAATCAATATTTACATACATGGTGTGTTGTGAGTTAATTTTGTGAGTTTGCTTGCTAGCAAATTTTATGTGACAGACTGACCTAGCTGATGGCAGATAGATAGATCTCTGAATGAATCTGTGATTCTGTGAGCAACTCAATCTGCCTGCCTGCTTTGCCTGATTTTGGGTAAAAGTTGCTCTTTTTTATAAAAAATTCAATATTTATATAAATATTTATAATATTTTCAAACAATCCATGCCCAGTCAATCACATGACCACCAAGCCACACCCACAAATTAGGCCACGCCCATATAACCGGTTAGTGGTCCCTGGGATTTAAAATTATGAGTTTGGTGGTCCCTGAAGTCCAAAAGGTGGCGATCCCTGCTTTAATTAATGTAAAGAACTGAACTGCCTTGCAGACTAGCCCAAACTCAACCGGTCAGCTTTCATGCCTAAGATGGGATAAGAACTCACAATCTCCTGGTTTTTAGGTCAGAACCTTACACCAGACACTACACAAAATAAATATCTTTAGTAGCATGAGATCCCATATTCAGCATCTATGTGTGATATGTTTCTGGACCAAAAAAATGGTTATGCAAGACTGCCAACCATATATTGCTCAATTCTGTATAGGTAGTCCTCAACATATGATCACGATTGACCCCTAAATTTATGTTGCTAAATAATAAATTTGTTAAGGGAGTTCTGCCCCATTTTATCACTTTTCTTGCCACATTTGTTAAGTGAATCACTGTGGTTGTTAATTTAGTAACATGATTGCTAAGTGAATCTGGTTTCCCCATTGATTTTGCTAATTGGAAAGTTGCAGAACGTGATCACATGATCCTGAGATGCTCCAACCGTCATAAATGTGAGTCAGTTGTCAAACATGTGAATGTAAATCATGTGACTATGGGGATGCTGCAACGGTCATGTGAAAAATGGTCCTAAGTCCCTTTTTTTCTGTGCTGTTGTAACTTTGAACGGTCACTAAATGAAACTGTTGTAGATCGAGGACTACTTGCATTTAATAAAGAAGATAGAATTACAGCATTAAAAAGTATGTTCTAAGTCACTGCTCAACTTTTTCAAAGTCTTCTATTTTCTTGATTTATTCAAGGTAAAAAGATGAAAAGACTCCAAAACACATTCCATATGAACAGCTTTGAATACCTACAATATCCCTATTGCTAAGTTGAAAAGCTATTCTGCAAAGATATTAACTCCAATTGTTCATCATAATTATAAGTTGAATTAAAAGAAAAACAATAATGGGTTATAGTAAGAAAAAATACAGTCCCATCATTAAAATGCTATCTAAAATACACCTTACAATTAAGATTATTAATATTAAAATATTGATAATTTAGAAGAAACATAAACATTTCATAATTTACGGAACTGTTTTAAAGACTTGATAAAGAACAGGTAAAAAGAATACAAATAATTACTAATTAAACATGCACTCACCTTAATGTCCTCTGGCTCTTCAATAGGTTCTGTAAGCCAATTAACCCCTCTTTCCTTTCAGACCAATTGGAACTAGCACAGTGGTTTAAGACCTCCGCTACATCTTCCGTCTGTCGCAGGTAGTGTGGGATGCCTCCATTGCGGGAACCATAGGACCGCTCTGAGCAAGCACTGGAGGCATCACTGTTTGCATCATCATCAGAATACATCCCATATGGTTCATACCTTCTTCTCACTGGTTTTTTCTGGTCGGAGGGGGGAGGGAATAAATATCGGATTCAGGAGATTTGAATAATTTCACTAAAGTATCTAAAGTAAAGGTGTTTCTTGCTTAATAACCATTCATTCAGGGACCATTTTAAATTATGATAGTGCTCAACAAAGGGACTTACCCAAAGATACAGCCATTGGCCTCACAAGGAAAACTTAAGTGTGTGGCAATCTGCCCACTCTAAGCAATAGCACTTAAGACTTATATACTGCTTCACGGTGCTTTAGTCCTCTCTAAGCGGTTTACAATGTCAGCATACTGCTCCCAACAATCTGGGTCCTCATTTTACCGACCTCAGAAGGATGGAAGGCTGAGTCAACCTTGAGTCAGTGGGACTCAAACTGCCGGCAGCCGGCAGCCAGCAGAAGTAGCTTGCAGTACTGCATTCTAATCACTGCACCACCATGGCTCTTGGACTGACCACAAGGGTTCCCTATCTCAGCTGCCCACCAGGTTCATCAGTGTGCACAAATCTACTCCAGGCTTAGAGGCTGAACCTTCTTGCCATCCTACTATGCCCAGGAGGCCTCAATTTATTACAGGGATAGCAGCAAATGTAATTTGTCCCACTCACATTTGAGTTTTTCTGCAGTTTCTGACAGGAACATCTAGCCTTCCCAGAGAGATTGTCTCATGCTATTCTGAAAGCAGATGTCAAATTGTGTGATTTGGAGAAGCAACCTTCCAAGCTAATGCGATAACAGCACCAGCTCTGGTGATCATTGAGAAAGCTAGAAAGAGGCTCTTTCTAGCTGTCCAAATAATCATGTTCATTAGCTTTCTAGCCTAGGGTAGAAAGAGAATGGCGCTAGCTCATGTGATTGTGCAGAAGACTAAAAAGAGCCTCTTTATAGTCTTTCCAATAGAAGTGTTCGCTAGCACGATCATTTGGGAGGCTAGAGTGAGACTCTTTCTAGCCTTCTGAATGATTGTGAGAGCTGGTGCTTGCTTGCAGAATGGCACGAGGTGGCATCTGTAGAAAGGCTGCATGTCACATTGGCTGGGTGCATCTATCAGTAGCTGCAGAAAAATGCAAAGTTAAGTAGAGCAATCTATGTGCATTATTGGGGCTTTCCCACTTGTGCAGGCTGGGGAGCAGGCGTTGGCCTCCTGGGTATAGTGGGGCAGGGAGAAAGACTGGGCCTTCCAAGCATTGTGAGGTGTGGAGAAGGCCGAGGCTTCCCAGTCTCCCACAGGTTCTGTGCACTAGTGGGCCCTCTAGCTGGCTGGAGGCTTCTGACCCATGGCAAGTCTCCATGCATGAGTTGGGTTCCCAGGGCCTTCGCTAACCCGCCCCCCGCCCCCGAAGCATCCCACATCTGCAAATGAAACAATTCAGCTACAATCGTTCTGATCATGTTAAATTGCTGCTCATTCTGAACAAAAATCCAGGTGAGCGCCAGACAAAGATGCCCATGCCCTCAAGGCATGTTTTAAATGATGAAGACCTATGCAAATTCTATGCAAAAGAGGTGCATTATAATATGAAAGAGCAGATTTAAAGCCCCTCTTTTCAGTAAAATAGCTATGTCTTCTTTTTCACAACTGCTTGATAAATTGTTCCCAGCTGTCTTAAATGTATAGCCACATTGTTTCATATTTGCTCCCACCTATTATGTAGCTCTTCTCTTGAAGGCTTTGCATAGTCCTAATGAGAACTTGAACTTGTTGTCTAATATTTTTCCGGAGTTAACATTTCTTCGTCACAGAATATAAATTAACCTCCTAAGCCTATTTCTATCCTCCTGTATATTTTCTATATCAGGCATGTCCAACTTGCAGCCCTGGATAGCTACTAATGCAGCCTTATATATAATTTGTGTCAGAATTTGTGTTTTCTTGACTTTAGCATACACAGATAAACTAAACAAGTTGAAGGCACCAAAGTCCTGCAGTTTGATAGGATGCAAGGTTTGGACATTAAGGTATCAACATAATTGCAGCCCCATATAATATTGTAACAGGGGAAGCAAAAAAAAATGGGAGGGAGGGAAGAAAAGAAAGAAAGAGGCAGGGAAGGAAAAAAAAAGGTCAGGATGGCACTAGTACCTTGCTTCTGGAGTCTCCTAAGAGCTGTATGCAGGAAAATATTGAAGGGTGGGGAAAAAGCATAGAGAATTATGTCAGAAGCTTCTGCAGGCATTTTTTTTGCAACAAAAATACAGCAAATGAGTCTTAGCAAATTAAAAATACAAATTCAGCCAGTTTCTTTTAAGAAATATAAAATGAGTTCAGACAGAAGCATCACATTGTGCATTATTCTGTTCTCATCTTCCTACAGCCAGGGACTTCGAAAAATACATGCACACAAGTAATATGCATTTAGAATTCTGGCTTTCCAAAGGCAACATTAATATGCCAGAAATGGGCTATATTCAGAGGGGAGGGGGGGAAGGCAGTTGGGGGTTTGTGGGGTACTTAATATTCCTGAGGGTAAAGTCCACAGTGGATCCAAGGTTAGGTTGGATTTATGTACTGTATATGGGTAACACTAGGATTCCCTCCCCCACAAGGTTTTGTGTTTTAGTATGAAGCCTATTTTAGGGCTTGCATCACACCTGCATACGTTTTCTGGCCTCAAATCATTCAGAAACTGTCTTGTCAGTTTCCCGTAATTGCAGTGTTTAAATTGATGATTTACTTTCTCAGCTATAGTTTGTACCTGTTTCATATCATGCTGATGTCTATATAGTATTCTCAGGGGAAAAAAAGATCTTGACATAGTTATTATTTACATACTAGGTGCCATTTGAGGACAGTTTACTGTAATAGATACCAACTCCCAAGACTAGAAATATTCCCTCTCACCTCCTGGAATTAAACTCCAAGAGCTCTTTTGTCATTAAAGATAATCAAATACGCTATGAGGGTCAAGAGTTCAGTTCTTATAGCTTACTCTATTCTACTACTGAATAAATTCCCTTCATTTCTAAGTTTATCTGGTTTCCCTGTCAATAGGTCTTTCTCTGCAGTGATCTAGGAATAAAAGAATTCTTCCTTAGATTTCTTCCTCACTTGATCTCTTTTTACAGGCACAACAATCAGCCTTGGCCAGGATAGAGAATTTGATCTGAAGGGACTTATTTTACATCTTTTTTTTTTAATGGAAATAAAGCTTTTACTGTGAAGCAAAGCATCTTGAATCCAAAGATGGAGAACAAAGGAGAGAAGAGAGAAATATTCCTTTAAGGCTATTACAATAGTTATACAGTAAGTGAAGACAAATCGGAAAGAGAACAGATGAAGAAAGTTAAAGGAGTGTTGATGTTGACTGTCAACAACACAGAGCAAAAGAAACTAAGTTCTGAAAAGATAGAGATGAACCAATTTTTTATGTATCACATTTTAGGAACTTGTGAATTTTCAAGAGCGTTTCTAAAAAAAAAAGTAACAAAACACCATTAAGTATATCTTTATATGAATTTTTCAACCATAGTTTGTCTCTTTGTAAGTGAAATTAACCAAATATGTTCATCACACTAGTTAAATTTTGATTAAAATAAGGCAAATACTACAAATTAGAATGATGACAGTATCATTTAAATCAGGGTTCCCCAACCCTCGGGCTGCAGCCCACTACTGGGATGTTGCCTATTCACAACCAGGCTGCACGAGTGGTGGACTGGAGTGCATGTGTGCACAGCTCAACTTGCATGAGCATCTGGCTGGCATGCATGCACACGCACGCAACTTGTGCAAGTCAAGCTGCATGTGCACACTAACTCGATGCTCACACAAGTCAAGTTGCACATTCACACGCACACATTGGTTTGCCGTTCACATGGCCCTATTCCCCTTCCCCCCTCCACCAATCCACCAAAGTTGGGGGCCACTGATTTAAATAGTTCTGATCAATGAAAGCTAGAACACAAGGGCAAAATGTGTATTCTATATCTCCTTTTGGAACCGCTTAGAGTTGGGTTGCTGAAAATGGACAATTACATTTTCTACAATTATGAAATGGAAAACACTGTACTGTAGTGAAATTCTTCAAATAGTCACAATTTTTGCTAAAGGAGGAGTTGTATGCAATTGTATGTATGCTACATTTTGGGGCCAAAAGTTCAGTTCTCTATCCTAAGTTATTTGCTATCATTCAAAATCATATCAAAATTTCTTTTTGTTATTTCAGAAGCAAAAGAAAAAGACTATTGGCCCAATGGATGGTTTCATACATGGTTATCAGTAGATAGAAAAGAGTCAGGGCAATTTCTTGTTACAGGAGCTAGAATTATAACCTCCCTTCTAAAATCACAGTGCTGAAACGTATCTCAGGAGAAGGATTTTTTTCTTTGAAGTTTATGGCCAAAGGTTAGATGAGAGCCACATTTACCAACATTAAGGACAACAGGCCTCCATTTCTTCCAGGCTCCATATCCAACTTATCCAAACTCCCCAATCTACCATCTCATTCCCAAAATTCCACATGTAATTTTACGGCAGTTTTGATGAAAAAAAACTGGAACTGGAGTTGTTTGGAATATTACTTCACGTGACTATGAATGGGATCTTTATTACTACCTAATTTATGCAACGATATTAATCATATATTCCTGGAAAACCTTATCTTGTATTTAATAAAATCCTGGGCATCATCCTATAATTAAGATAATTTTATCCAATAAAACCTCATTTCATCAAATCAGAAACTAAACATTCAGCAGCCAAGTGGCTTCAATTTTAACATTTTATTACTTTTTAGTTATTAGTTTACAAATCATATATCTATATCTATCTATCTATCTATCTATCTATCTATCTATCTATCTATCTATCTAGTCTTTATGAATAGTGCTACTAAAATAAAAAATACAATCCTGGATTCAGTAGAAAAGCAAAGTTCGAATTGTTTCCTTCCCCTCCCCCTGCTATAAAACAGCATCAAAAATATGCATGTAGCATGTGCGTCCTAGTAATTTGTAAAAGTCCAGATTCATAGAGAATTTATAGATCATCCAGTGGATAAGAATGCAAGTTTCAACTGCACTGTGTTATACATAGTTAGAGACAATACACACTATTCATACATTATCTTGTAACTCATAGTTCATAGTGCTAAAAGCCTTCGAAATATTTTCTACCACTCTGGATCTCCAGCATTTGGGAGTAACAGCAAAAAGGCAAAAGTAGCTTTCAGTAAATATGCCTATTTCATGGAATTACTTGAAATCAGAGATGCAGTGATGCAATCTGTTATATTTATTTAAAAAATTGTTTATATATTTTTGCTTTTTAAGTAGACACTTAATTTCAAGAGTACAAGAGAATTTGAAAATATTAAAGTACATAGATTTAATGAAGTTTAAGTCCAGGAACATGTTTTAGTTTACCTTATTTTTTTTACATATGCCTTTGTTACCTTAAACTTTCATATATTTAATAGAATTTCAGAACTGAAAAGGGATGGATGGATGACTGGAATTTTATTCCTTTTACTGCTACATAACTAAGAATCAGAAATGTGTGTTATTATTGCAAATCATCCAAAGACTAACCAATAGGTGCAGATCAAATCAAATCAAATGTTTATTGTCAATGAAACTGAAATCCATCAATCATTAACAATAATTATTATTAGTTATTTTTAATGGTAATTAAGTGACCCTGATCAGAAACCTCTAGAATTAACGATAGAAGCCTTTGTCAGGGTGACCCATACAAACTTTCCCTAAGGTAGGACAAGGCAATTATTCTCAACAGACATTTCAACTATAAATTTTAACTCTCCAAAATGAACAAATGAATAAAAGCACATTTGTGGGACATGAAGCAAACATGTTGCACATACTAACATAATAATATAAGTATGATTCACAACTTATACTAGGAAACTATTTGATTCACTTCATAAGATAACTATAGTGGCATTCATAAGCATTTGACACAGATGGTTTCACTATTATAATCCATTTACTTGAAAAATAATGAATACCAACAGTTAATATTTCCACAAATAAAAGATTAGGATCAGACTGTGAAACTCATCTTCTACATTTCACTGCACTAATATCAACCATTTAACTCTTCCCATGCAACTATGCATTAAAAACCCCTTTCCTCACATCTTCCCAAAACCCTAAAGAAAGATTTAGACAGAGTCACACGTACACATATAGGCTCATTTAATAGGAACACACATAAAAGAAGAGGAAAATGTACGTACAGAAAGCAACTTCAAGCAACTTTCTGGAGTTGGTAACATGTTGTGCTTTCCCTCTTACCAATGCATCTGCCACAGCAGTCTCCAGATCTGTGCTTGTACTCAGAACTCGCATTGCATTCATAGAGGCAGGCAACCTGCCTGGCTGGCCAAGCCCAAACCGTTCTGCACAAAAGACAAGAGTAAAAGCCATCATTACATAAGTTCACAGCCCTTTGGAATATTAATAAGGCCATTGGCTGCTTTAATTGTTATTGGGTCCAAGTTTTAGGAGTTACTATGAGGCTATAATAGAAAGTCAAACAAATTCTATATATATATTGGTTAGATAAGAGGGACAGGAGGGGGATTATTATTTAAACTCTTTTATAATAATGGTTAAATGTAACTACTTTTACATATTCTCAATTTTTCAAAGGAGGAAGTAAGCACTACGGCAAAGTTCTTCAACTTAGTAAGAAACTTGTAGTAATATATTGTTAATTTCTTAACTTACTTTTAGGTCTTGCAACAGTATTTTTATGAACTGGCTTATTCAAGTGTTAATCCAGTTGCAATTATTCTGATTGTTCTGCATTTGTATACTTGCTGGTTAAATTTTAGTGAAAACAGAACCAAAAATCAAAAGTAAGGCTCAAGCAATTTGTACTACTGATCAACAAAAAATTAAAAGTGAATTTAAAAAAATCCCATACACTATCCCATTGAATTTGGAAGATAAATAAATCTTCAAAGACCATCGAACAATTGTAAGATTTCCCCCCCCATCTCTTAATATAGATACAAATAAATGTTATACTTTTTAAAAAATAATATTAATATTTTCATCCCATTATAATTGTTTGAGATTTACTAATTTGTGTTTTTAAAGTCACTATTTTATTTTCTTAAACCTAAAGATTAAATTATGATTTTTGAAAGTATACTATATGAAAGCATTTCCCAACCTTGGCAACTTTAAGACGTGTTGACTTCAATTCCCAGAGTCCCCTAGCAATCTGTGCATCCTAACGTTGCCAAGATTGGAAAACACTATTATATTGGGGAAGTAATGCAGTATTGGAATAAATGTGCTTTTTTCAATGTACCATCAACAGATTGATTTACCAATAATCTTTTTTAATAGAATTGTCCTGACCGGTGTTGCTTAAACTGTACACAACTGCCATTTTTCCTTCCTCATCAATGGACTCCCAAAGGCTTAAATCATGGGAGATTTTAAAACAGCCATTTCAATGAAGGCGATTAGCTGCATATAACTGGTGTAAAGGGAAATAAGTTTCCCATGCACTTCAAAAGATCTGTTTAATGGTGTCCAATTCATATTGTGAATATAATAATTAGATTATTCCATGTATTTATTGATTTATTTATTTTACTAAGTCCCTTCCATTTGTAGCTCCATTAAACTGGACTTCACTTATAGTATGGTATCCAGCTATGTTAGAGGATGGATGTACAAATTATCATTTGTTGCTACCAGCAAATACACTTTTTTATGTTAAGAAATTGTAACTATTTAAAGGGCACTCTAATTAAAAAATAAGATTTGTTTAAGCAGTGTTATGATTTCAACTCTAATGCACAGAAATGTCTTTCAATATCAATTAGGGAAAATGACAACAACAATCAATATAAAAACCTAAAAACAGAAAAATATCACTGGGAAATATTATTTATAAACCAATTTTAAGCCTTTGTAGACAAAAATTCCATTTATTGTATTTGTTAAGTTTCCACTAGGGGGAATAAGAACAGATCAACATTGTGAACAATTACTGAAGCTAATGTGAAGGAAGCAAAATTAAATACATTTGAGCATTGTGGTAATGCCACTTAAAAGGGTTTGATATTTTTCAAATTTTACTAAGATCAGACAGTTTACAACAAGCACATTTTCTAAAACATAAAATACATTACATGCGAAAATTAAATGTCTTTAATGAAAACCTGCTTTGAAAAGGAATTGATGAAGTTTACAGAGAAAGAAAAACTATATGTATTACTATCTCCTTTTTTAATGCATATAGTTGCTGAAGCAGCACAGATGCTTGTTTCAAACATCAGCTTTGCTCCAAGCAGGAGGATTTGGTGAAATAATGATAATGAACATGAGAATCCAAATGTTTTGCCATGTCATTTTGTTCATTCAGCGTAATATCTTAAGGCCCAGTAAGTATTTGTACATTATGAAAATATATTGCAGTTCTCTATTGAACAAACTGAGCAGGACATTTCAAAGGTGCAATCAATCATAGGATAACTCGATTTTTCAGTCCTTTAGTTCCAATCTCAAGTGAAATGGAATTTCATCCCACTTAAATCTTGAAAAATTATCACTAATAACATTTTTGAAAGGAATGTAAGTATCACTGGATTTCTACCATTTGTGGGGACAAAGTATACATCTACATATTCATCATACATGTACGTATACAAACTGCAATGTTGTTTCATTAAAAACATGTGATCATGTGAGACTGTAGGTTTTGCTCACAGACACCAAGTCAGTGTTATCACTGTATCAAGAATCTAGTCACACTTCCTAGGACATCCCATGGATATTACTTGACTAGTTTGGGGGCATGAAAAGTTAGTAATTTTTGGAACAATGAGAAAGGAACCTAACCAAACTGAAATACTCAAATTTCCAGAAGAACCAGTCCTAAACCTGGCTTCATGTAGTTTTGAATAAAAATTGTCACTGCATTAGAAAAGGAAAGATAGTTTTTAAAACATGGATAATCAAAATGGCAAAGTAAAGTTGCAAGCCTTTAAAATATTCAATAGAAACAGCTAAATTAAATCACATTAAGTATATCTGACATGCAACTTTATGTCCCAGTTTTTAGCATATGAATAGCAACAAAAATGATGGTGGTGGTGGAGGCGGTAGTGATGATGATGGAATGGACTTCTTCATTGGATTATATTCTGTATTTTCCAGTTCTTGTCTTGATTATAACACTATCAGATAATGGAAATTTATCTCAGGAGCATGAGCAGAAATCCCCGATAAATCCCAGAAGAGTCTAAAGCTACTATACTGACAGAGGATAACGCACAGGTAGTCCTCGCTTAATGACCATTTGTTCAGCAACCATATGAAGTTACGATGGTGCTGAAGGAATCAAAGTTGCAGACTTGCACTGGCCCTTCTGTCACATGATCAAAATTCAGGCAAATATTCAGGTACTTTACAGCTGCAGTGTGTACTTCAAATCCCCCACTTGCCTATCTTACCTTATTCTCTGTCTTTTTAGCCACCCTGCACTCCACTGCTGCTGCCTCCTGCTGACCATCGCTGTCTTCTCCTCCCAGCGCTGACAAGGCATGCCTGGCTGAGGCAGCTGTTGGCCTTTGTGAAGCTTTGGTAATGCTTCCCGAAGGCTCTATGCAATGCTCGGATGTCTCACAAATGGTCAGCTGATGCCTTAACCAGATGTTCCTCATCAGCAATGAGAGGAAGATCCTCTGGGGGTGGCCCAAAAGGAAGACATGGGTGGGAGACAGGCAGGGGGAATTCAAGTGGAGGCGAGCACAGCAAGGTCCTTGTCAAATGACCACAACCAGGACTACCAGAACTGCTATTGCTAAACGGTGCGGTCATGTGATGTTTTGCTTAATGACCATTTTGCTTAGCGATGGAAATTCCAATCTCAATTGGCATCATTCTCCTACTTGTATTCTATTCAGGTACTAAGGCGGGGTGGGGTGGGGTTGAGTTTTGGTGATAGCCTCTAAAATCTCAACAGAAAATGTTTAAATATTTTTGTGGGCACCTCAGTTACATAGAAAAATTGGTGGTGCTGTGTCATGTTATTTCACTTTTGTTAATACCTTATCTAACACTGAAGGAACTGTTTTAAGAGAAGTTTATGAAATGGTATTAATTGTCATTAATTAACTGCATGGAAAGAAATATTGTTCCAAGGTAATTCAACAATAGCAGTAGCATATACCGCTTCACAGCGCTTTACAGCCCTCTCTAAGCAGCTTACAGAGTCAGCATGTTGCCCCAACAATCTGGGTCCTCATTTTACTGACTTCAGAAGGATGGAAGGCTGAGTCAACCTTGAGCCTGGTGAGATTCAACCTACCAAACTGCAGCACTAAGCAGAAGTAGCCTGCAGTACTGCATTCGTTAACCACTGCATCACCACAGCTCTTCAGACTGTACCAATGAACATCAGAAGCATATAAAGCTACAATTTAATATGCAACAATTAGCATATTAAATTCACACCCCCAAATTATATGTTTTATCAGTGTTGGGCAAGCTTAAGACAGCACACATTTGTGGCAGGCTGTATTTTTGGAATAATAAGCCTTATCACCAACAAAGCCATGCATTCAGGAAGTGGAGAGACAGAGTTAGCAGAAAAGATAGATGGGTGAGAAAGTAGGAGAGAAAGAGCAATTGTTTCATGGGTCACTGGCAGTACATGAGTAGTAATGGGGAGGGCTGAGTGAGCTGGCATTTACCCATCAAAGTCTTGGCAATGGCCTCTAGCCTGTGATACACAAGGACTTTTGTTATAATCTAGCTTGGATGGAAGTCACATTCATGACTGGGCCTCACTTAAGTTAAAGAACAACAATCTCTTACAGCAAAAGGGACTTCTGTAAATATTCTACATATGAAGCTTTGATGTTAAAAATATATCCACAAAACATCATTTTCATTCAATGGGGCCTTGTAACTTAACTCAATATAAAGAAAGCAAGGGGCGTTTTATGGGGCTGATTTCTGTGGTCCACATAGTGTCAAAACTATTAGGTAAATAGAGAGAGGTTTCAGGTATAAATCTGGAATTTACTTGATAGGAATACATAAACAAACATTCCCTTCTGGTTTACATTACCAGTATTTAAAACTTGTATTAAACAGATGTAGATCCTGTTTCTAGAGGTTTTTCTTACAATATTTATATATTCCAAATCCCAGATAACATCATAATGACTTTCTTTTCAACTCTAATTTTTATATAATTTCCTGTCATCAAAGAAGTAACCATAGTTTTCAAAAGAGACCTAAGCAACCTGTCCATTAAACTGAAATTCTACTGTTTTATGTCTCAGAACTATAAATTTTGAGGGTGATGGGTAAAGTTTTGCCACTTTGATGACCATGTGCCCCTAGCATTACATGAACTAGCAGCAAA